TCTCTAAGGGAGAGGAGCCTAGCAGTGGTACCTACGGTGAGGGCAGGCAGGGGTGGGACCAGGGGAAGTGGGCACCAGGCCACTGCTGCCATCGCCCCATCTCCTGTGCACTGAAGGAGTGGGCAAGTCCGGAAAAGGAGCCAGGGTGGGGGCCCCACAATCCCAGGGCTCCTTATCGGGTACAGGATCCAAACCCAGCCCCACCCACCCTCTCTGCCTCTACACCAGAGCCAAGTTCACAGCGGTGGAACACCCTGGAGATCTGTTTTTGGTGTGTGTTGAGCTTTCTCCTGTGGAAGCCCCTGCAGGCCAGGACATGGGTGAGGCCGGGGCAGATTTCCAATTTCAATGGAAATTGGGCTGTTTCTGAGCAACTGCTCCCAGTTCTAAGATGTGACTGGCTGGAGAAGCCTCAGGTGATTGGCCAAGGGACTGGCAGAGGCCTGTGAGTGAGCCTTTCAGGGCCTCCTGGGCTAGAACTGCAGCCAGAGTCCCTGCCATACCACAGAGAAGACAGCCTGGCTGGGGACAGGACAGGCTCCTGCTGGCTGCTCCTGCCTAGTCCTTGAATTAGATGCTTTGAGGGGTATTCTGAACCTGACCCAGGTTTGTCTGAGCGAATGGAAATACACAAATCATTTGAGAAGGTGAAAAAGGTGGTTTTCTTCCCTCACTCTTTCCCTTCTCCCTAGTCCCACCCTCTCCAAGTCAGGTAGACTGCAGGGCCACCACAGGTTTGGGGTGAGTCCTAGCTCTTCATGGAGGACCATGCCAGACACAGAAGGGACCTGAAGCAGCTTGAGGAACATGCTGGGTGTGAGAGGACAGGACCCAGGGGCAGGGCCAGAGTCCCGGCTCACAGATCACCCAGCTAACTGGTGGCTTAGTAATCCTGGCCCTGGGAGCAGTAGGTCCTGCTCTGGTATGGCAATTGGAAACCAAGATGGACCATTCTGCCTGGAAGGCAGGACTTCTAGTTTGCAGGCTTAGAAGGGAAAGATTAATAAATTAAATTAATTTTATGTGCTGAGGGAGGGAATTATTCTGCTCAGCACTTTTCTGAAGTGTGCACTTCAAAACATTCAAAACACGTCATGAGATATTAGCTGCTCTATGGGAAAGAAGGGACAGGGACAAGCAACCAAATGTTTTGGGGGAAATGTGGATCATGTAATAGTCATGCAAATAAACGAAAAGGTGCATGAGTCAAGTCATCACAGGCCTTTCTTGGATTTTCACAGGGCAAATAGGCAATATACAGCTCCACGGGGGCAAGGCCCTAAACTTACTTGACCATCGTCCTGAATGACCTCATGGCTTATTGTTCCACAGGATGGCATTTGGGGAAGCATTCTACTGGCCCTTTTCCCTAAGTCCCTTTCCAGCTCTAAAAAAAAAAAAAAACGGTTTGGGAAATCATGAGACAGGCCAGAAGAGCAGGGGAAAAATAAGACTTGGAGGAAAAAGCTGCGAGAGGAAGATAGAGAGAGGGTGAAATCCCTGAGACAGGAAATAGGGCTCAAGACTGGAGGTGGACCAGAGGAAAGTATAGGGGAGGGGTCTTCAGGCTGTGGGTGGCAGAGGGGCTGGGAAGGGGGGCTGCACAGACCCAGGGGGAGCAGTGGGGCAGGCTGGGGGCTGTAGAGAAGGCCACAGGCACCTGCCCTCCCAGCCCAGCACTCTGTTCCAAGTGGATGCTTCCAGGATGCAGCTCAGTCAGTCGTGGTGATGGGAGCTTGGGGCAGGGAAGCAGGTTCCAGCTTCCTTCAGACCAGGGGATGCGCAGGGAGCAAAAGGAGGGGCCCTGCCCCAGAGTCAAGGCTGCCAGGGGACTGGAAGAGCTGATATGCTATGTTAAGCATGAGTTGAGGGGTTCACCCAAGCAAGAAATCCAGGGCATCTCCCTGCGGGGCTAAGAGTGCTGTCCCTTGCATCTCTAGAGTGCCTCTGCCTTCCTCCTACCTCCCTCCAGCACTGGTGGGGCTGCTCTTTGAGGAGGGGACATGATGTCAGTGGGAGGTGGCAGCTTGGTCTGGGGCCTTCTGCAGAGTATATTCCCTAGGCCAGACTCTGAGGCCTCTCCTCCTGCCTAGAAGCTGCAGCCCCCACAGCAGGCCCGGCGCCCAGTCAGGAGCACAGCGGCTTTAATATACGTTGGTATGTGGCTTGGGATGAAGGCAGGCGCCAGGCCAAGCAGTGCTATTACAAATGTCCAGTGTTGTTATTACGAAAAAGGAACAGAGCTGCCTACGTGCTCAGCTGCCCTTTGCCAGCACTTTCTCTTTTTTCTAGTTCAAGATCTTCAAGCTCTAAGAATGTCTGTCTCACAAGCCCACAGGGCAGGGTTTTCCTAATTTAATGAACAATCTCAGCTTCATAGACGAAGTCCTCTGACTCCCGCCTTCCTCTGAATCCCACCTCCTTCCCTCCTAGAAAATGCCACCCGGGGTGGCCTTCTCCCTCCTGGGACAGATGAAAGGGGTCTTCATTTTCATCTCATAAGGATGACATCAGTCAATTGTGCACAGAAATACACAGATACAATAAAGATACATAAATTTGTTGGTGCAAATATTAACTTCATCTGTTTCCGTGTAAGCTCTACATGGGAGACCTCTGTGTTTCCCTTCCTACAGGGAAGGCAGGCGTGGACATGACAATAAAAATAACAATAGTATTTACAAGTGTTTGCTGAAGACAGAGGAACCACAAGCTCCATCTCAACACATGAAACAAAAATAGAAATCACACATATTCACATACCCAGCACATTTCCAAGAGCTAATCACACACAGTACCATGGAAAGAGCAGGTAGTTGTCCATAGTTTTCCAAGTGCGCATAGTCATGGTTTAGGATCTTGTGCCCCTTTTCCATTGTCCAGAACAATTCTCCCAGAGGACCCCGCTTGGAGCCTGCCAAGCACATGAAGGCTGGCCATTCTTTCTGGCTTCCTGGGGTCTAGGGCGGGGCTCGCTGCACCTCTGGTAGTCTTTTTGGAAGCTCTTCCAGCTCTCTGTGCCTTCTCTCTCATGACTCTACCTCCTCCTCCCTCCGTGCCCCACATCTCTTGTCTGCTTTCACCTGCTGACATCTCAGTAGATGACGGCAGCCCAGGCAGGACGGACTCTAAAATGCTGCCAGGTTAACCTCAGTGCTTCTGGTTCACTTATTATACAATCAAAGGGGAGAAGCCCTGATACCACAACACTGCTAACTGAAAAGTTGGGGGTTTGAACCCACCCAACGGCTCCGTGGGAAAAAGACCTGGCAATCTGCTCCTATAAAAATTCCTCCTCGCTCACTGCCATAGAGTTGATTCCAACTCATAGTGGGCTTCCAAGGCTGTAAATTTTTACAGAAGCAGACTGCCTCATTTTTCTTCCATGTAGCAGCTGGTGGGTTTGAATGTTTTTAACCACTACACCAACAAAGCCTAGAAAACCCCATGGGACAGTTCTAATCTGAGTTTCACCCAACAGCAACACATTCAAAGGGGAGAAGGAGGCTATTGTAGATCCTGAGGTGGAGGCATTGGGGGAGGTAAAACCCAAGACAGCAGCAGTGTGAACTTGAGTTTTCAGGAGGATAGGAAGCCCTGTTGTGCTTTTTCCTCCCCCTCCTTTCTTCATCTTGGCTTTTTTCAGGGAGGGAATCTCAAATTCGATGCCCTTGTCTCCCTCCTGTTGGTTTGTGCGTCACTAACTTCTTATACGCCGACTGGGAACAGCTTTTCATTTAGTCTTCCTCCTCCCGTACTCCCAGCCCCACAGTTGTAGGACAGCTGATGGCAAAAACACCTCCCCTCTGCACCTAGACACCAAGCCTTGCCCCCAACAACCAGCAGGACTTAATAGTTCTTAGCAGCATTTTTTTCTGCACTTTTTTTCCCCATAAAAGAAAAAATTCTTTGTAAATGAACCATCCATGCCCAATCCTTACGTAGCAAAAAGTGGAGATTCCAGGACAGCAAACGTCTGGCCTCTCGGAGGTTCGTGAGCTAATTGGTGCCATATTGAATCCTGAGGATACCTCTTCTTGGATCTCCTAGCCCATCCTGAGGGTCTTCATCCTCTCTTCACCTCAAGGGCCTCTCAATCCTAGTGGCCCTGGACAAGGCCCCCGCCCCTGGTTCTGACACTGGCTGCATGTCACAGGAGCTTCATGTCTTCACCTTCCGGGGGTACTTGCATTGCCTTGGGAGAGACATTTCCCTAGTTTCTGTCTAGTCCACAGAGGTGGAGAAGGACATTGTCCCAGAACTGACCCTCCCTGGCTCATCATCATACATGAGAACCCTGGTGATATGCTAGTGAGTCGGGGATCCATCCCATCAGGAGGCTTGGGCTTCTCATGATACCCAGCCAGGCAGCTCAGGGCCTGGGGAAGGAAGTCAGACTCTAAGACCCCCTCCCTGGTTTATGAAGTGGGGTCTGAGGCCCAGAACACCCCCTCGTTCCAGAAAGTCCATACTTTTGTGATTCTGAGATGGAGAAGAGGCAGTGGGCAGTGGTAGGGGGCCACCAAGATAAAACGGAGGGTCCTACAGCTCCAGCTTCTCAGCACCCGCATTTTCTCTCCCTAGTGGCCCTTCTCCCAGAGGCGACCCTACCATGGCCAGGCCTGTCTTAACAGGTGCTGGCTTGGAGGCCACTTCTATCCTCCTCTGGCTGCCTATGGGCCCTGGCCTAGACCCCTCCTCAGATATACCCACTCACCCACTGTGAGGGTCACTCAGAATGGCTATTGTTTCCAGGCTGGGAAAGAACCACCCAGCCCTCTCCCCTCTGGGCACGACCAGAAATGTGCTGCGGAAGCCAGGCCATCTCTGAGAACAAATGGCGGGCCCCTTGGGACTGCCAGCGGCCAGAGGGTGCTGGCTTGGCCTGGAACAGAGAGCATAGAGAGGACAGGGAATAGACCTCAGAACACAAGGCCCCTCCCTCAGGCCCCCAGCTTTTCTGTCTGTGGCCAGTGGGAGTGTAGGGGCAGAGACTTCAGTCTCCAAGAGGTAGTCAGGGGTCCTGGCCCCTCCACCTCAGTTGGGTGGATGGGTGGGAGATGCTGGGAACTGCCCCCCTCTGGCCACCCCTCCCTGCCCTCCTCTATGTGGCTTCCACCTCCCGGGGCGTCCGGTTGCGCTCAGCCTGTGCCCAGCTCTTCACCTTCTTGCCCAGCTCCAGCCCGGCCCAGCTCTTGCCCTTAGCTGGCTTGCCCCGGCTCCGTGAGGTACCCAAGCGCTCCCCACTGCCACGGCACCACACACGCTCACAGTACTCATCCACCCGGGGCAGGTTGGAGAAGCCAATGAGCTGCAGGAAGTCCTTGTACCAGGCCTTGGGTGGGCCGAGGGCCAGGCTGACCCTCGCGGGGGGCTCCTCTGGCCTCTGCTCCCGAGAGAACAGGCTGTCCAGCTGTGCGGCCGCAATCACCTCCAGAGCCAGGCGGATCACGGTCTGGGAGAAACCGTGTTCCAGCGTGGTGCAGGAGTAGGTGCCTGCGTCCAGGCGGCTGAGCCTGCGGAAGAGCAGCCCCTGCTCCGTCTGTAGGACTCGCTCGTCAGTCTTCACCTGAAGGGTGGGAAGGCAGAAAGGAAAGGGTGAGGGGTGGGGTGCACACCACCACCTCTTTGCACCCTGCTTTTTTTTTTCTTCCAAGTTTATCATTCTTGGGCCTCAGTGCTTGGGCACGTCCCCTTACCACTCCTCCCTTCCCAAGAGGGGACCAGCAACCTGGTTCCCGTGGGCCCTCTAGACCAGGAGCTAATTGCAAGTAGGGCCTCAGCTTCTTCCATAGCCCAGGACAATTAACTTCTATAAAGGGAAGCATTTCAAAGATTTGACTGACCAGTTTCTCTCCTAGTCACAGCTCTGGGGCTCTTATCTTACCTTTAGAGGCTCTGGCACACATTCCCAGGGGCAGAGGGAATATCCGTGGGCTTTTACTCAGGGGAGTAGCTGTGCCCTACATCTGAGACTAGACCTTAGAACTTCACTCCAACAACACACACACACACACACACACACAGAGCCTACCCTGTCTTTGCCTGCATGGTTCACTCCCCATGGTGCAAGGCCACAGCCCTGACACAGAAGTGGGCTGAGAGCCTATCACAGCCCAGGAAGAGGGAATGGAGTTCACCAGGACTGTCTCTCGTTGGGACCCACTGTGGCTTTGGTCTTGGGCTGCACTGCCTGGGCAGTGCGTGTTGTGTAAATCCATCTTGCTGCTCATGCCCAGGGGACTTCTCTGTGCCAAGCCCACAGCTGGCCAAAGGCTGGCCTCCCCCAGTTCCCAAGGCAGAGGGAGAGCCCCTCCTGTAAGCAATCCACTTGCTCCCCTCCCTTGTCCATGGGAGCTGCTCTAGAATGGCTCCTCACCCAGCCCCACCCACACCCATTTTGAGGCCCCAGACTGAAGCCATCTCTGGAGCTGACAGATCCTTCCGGATGGGGGAGGAAAGGGCCCAGACAGACAGCTGGACTCCAGGGAGGAAGTGTGGGGCCAGGCATGTGTGTGTGTGTGTGTGTGTGTGTGTGTTGGGGCAGGAGGCAAGGGGCAAGGGCCAGTGGTCGGGGGCACAGTCCTGGAGCGAAGGAGGACCCAGACCCCTTCCAAGATGAACCAAGTGTATTAAACTTGGGGGAGTGGTCTTCCTGATTGGCCCAGAACCCCTTTTGTATCTTCCATCTCTGCTACCCCTTCTCACTTCTCAGAGCTCAACTCTGTGCCTTGCAAAGTTGTGAGCTCCCTGTCACTGAAGGGATCCCAGCCACATCTGGCCTGGGCATTGCCAGATGTCAGGAACAGGGACTTCTCCTTTTAGGTACTCCAGGGACCTAATATACACTTTTCTTTGGTTGAGATTGACAGGTGCCCCCAGAAGCCCTCTGCTAGGGCTCAGGGCTTGAGGTCTCCAGAAGGGGGTATGCCCTCAGGTGCGCAGATTAGAGGCAGGGTTTTCGCTCACTTGGTCAGGCTCTTGGTCCCCTGGCCTCTGTAAGAACCAGCGCACGGTGGCCTGGGGAGACTTGGGTTGGCACTCCAGGAAGGTACTGTTGTGCTCTGTGCCGTAGACTGTGGTGGCCACCACATGCCCAGCAGCGTCCTCTGGAGAGAGGCAGAGAGAGGTTGGTTCAATTAGGGAAGTATGAGAGCACACCCTGGGAGCCATAAAATGACTCCCACAGCTCTGGAGCCCTCACCAGTATGATGGGGACCTTGGTGGCCATTCAATCCCCAAGCCAGTCACTCTGTGTGAAGACCCTTCACCCAAGCACAGACAGCAGCTGCACAGATAGAGAAAGGGAGGACTGTATAATAAAACCAGACCTGAGGCCACATTTCAGAGGTTGGCGAGCCCAGGCCACCAGGACCCCGCTTCCTTTCCCTTACCTACCACCCTACCCACAGTGAGTAGGACCCCACCCATACACACCTGCCATCACTCACCTTCTGGGCCCTGGCCCAGGCACTGCAGGGCAGGGTTGCCGTGCCGGATGTCCTGCCTGCGGAACCGGCGCTTGCTGGTGCTGGGCCGGAAGTGGGTACAGAAGGTGCCATCCCAGGCGCAATAGGGGTCCCGGGCCAGGCAGCACTCAGCACAGGCACTGCCATAGGTCTCGCACTGGTGTAGCCGCAGCTGGGCCACGCCCAGCCGCGAGCCCACATACAGCATTTGCTGGTGGGGGACACACAGGCAGAGCTTAACTCAGAGGCAGGCAGGATCTCAGCCCTGTCTGAGGGTTTCTGGAGAACCTGCCACTTGCAGAACCTCTTGGATTCACTCACAGAACCAACAAATGTTTATCACACACCTGCTAGGTGTAATGTCCTGAGGGATGTCCCCAGAGGGGATGAGTCAGCCCCAGTGTCAGTCCTCTAAGGGGTTCCTCCAGGCCCTCCCTGAGCTCAGAGCAGAGAGGTGACATTTGCCCCCTGCCCCATGGCCTTTCCTTCTGACTTATTTCTGGCCTCACAAGTACACCCTTCTCTAAGCAATCCCAGTGCAAAAGTCAGGATTTGCCCAAAGATAGACTGGGACAGATGAAAAAGGACACACAGTAGGCCTCTAAAAAGCCAGCGCTCTGGTTTTGATTTAAAATTGGATTTCCCCCCACTGATGACTGATTTTCAGAAGTAAATCACCAGGCATTTCCTCCTAAGTCCCTCTGGGTGGATTGGATTTTGTTTTCAAGCTCGTCATTGCCTCCCGTCAGGGACTGGTCTGTGCTGCTCTCTCCTTATGTGAGCAGTTTCATCTCTGCCTCACCTACTACCCTTGTCTTCCATGGTCATTGGCCTCACACACAGACCTCACTGCAGGGCCCAAGAGCGGCATCCCAGGGCCTGCACGGCAGCCCTCGAGGGGACAGCAGGTGTTCAAGGAGGCTGAGGGAGCAGGAGTGGGGAGAGGGCAGGGGTGGGGAGGGGGCAGCTGCCCCTCTTACCCTTTTTACAGAAATCTCCATCTCAGTAATGGGTGTTGGCACCTGGGGAAGGAGGAGGGTCTCAGTGCGGGATGGGGTGGGACCTGGGATGGGGTGAGACCCTCCTCTGCTTCCCTTGCTCTGAACCTCTGCCACCCCTTTTGGTGGTAGCCACCCATCTCCCAGCCAGGGTCAGTCACACACTGAAGTCTAAACCAAAACCATCTTCCCATACATCAAGTTTACAAGAAAGGTCCTTCATTCTAGCTAGACCCTAAGCAATCAGCTTGGTGAAAAGCACAAAGTTCTGGCATTCAGCCCTGTCCTCCAGCAGTGAGGCAGCTGTTCCAAACTGCCCATTCCACGCACCATGTTCCAAAACACATTTGCCTGTTTCTCTGATGTCTGCAGTGGAGCCAACAGGACTCCTTGGTGACTTGGGGACTCAGCCACCACCTCATTGTGATTGAGGGGTGCTCAACTCAGCCATTCCTCCCTGGGGACCTCAACTTTACGCTCCCAGACTTCCTCCCCATCCCCACAGTCATTCAGAAACACTATGAGGCCTCTCCCTGCAGCAGTGAGTGCTGGCCTTTTTACCCCCCACTGGCTGCAAGTGCAGTAGAGATGGAACCCCATCCCCTCCTGAGCCTTGCCCCTGCTTCCCTATAGCCAGGCCTAGACCCAGGGATGGTGTTTGGGGGACCCCTTCCACCAGCTCCCCTGCTTACCTTAAACACCTGGAGCTCCTCCAGCACCACCTCCTCGGACTCAGCAGAGCCCACCGCCTGGAGGGCGATGACCTTGAGCACAGAACCTGAGTCTGGGCAGGAGAGAGGGGTCAGACAAAGAGGAAGGGGGAGCCCATCTACACTCTTCACCAGCCTGGCTACCCCCACTCAGCTCACCCACCAGTGCCCAGGAAGATGACGTCGTAGGCCCCGTCTTCCGCTTCCACACGGTCCACCACGATCTGGCGCAGCTGCTGGGCCAGGTTGGTCTTGACAAGAATGGGGCGGCCCTGTCGAGGCCTCACAGGCCGGAACATGAGTGGGTGGGCTCGGGCAAACTGCAGCACCTCATCAGGATAGTCCTTGGTGCTGCCAAAGGGCCGTCCAGGTTGTGCCGTCATCTTGCTGGGACACTGTGGGCAGAACAAAGCCAAGCCTGAGCATCCTAAGTTGCTGTCCCCACCCAGCCTGTTTCCACCACTGCCAACCTCCAGAGGGATGCTCCCAGTGCAGGGAAGGGCACAGAGCTCTCTCCCCCTCCACACCCAGGCCCCCAGAGTCCTAGCTCACAAAGACACAGGGCTGTTCCAAGGAGGTGTCCTTCCTGGCATCTGCTCAGTCCCCTATTCCCTGGCCAGACTCCTGGAAGATACTCACCACGCCTGGGCGGGGAAAGGGCACCTTGCCCCCATAAGGCCCCCATTGATGCTGGGGACCATCACGGTGGGCAAAGGGCCCGTTGAAGACCTCCCAGATGTCAGCCATGTGGTATACGCAGATGGCAAACCCCTGGAACACAGCACTGCCGGGAGCAGATTAAGGATAGTCAGCCTAGGGTGGCCATCACAGGCAGGAAGGGACAGCCTGGCTCCACAGGCAGGACAGAAGTGGAAACGCCCACACTCAGCCAACTCCAACCAACTGACTGACATCAAGTCGATTCCAACTCATAGCGACCCCCTTTGGGTTTCTGAGACAGTAAATCTTTATAGAAGTAGAATGCCCAGTCTTCCTTCCAGAGTGGCTGGTAGGTTTGAACCACCAACCTTCTGGTTAGCAGTCAAATGCCTTAGGCACTACGCCACCAGAGATCAGTCAGCAGGAACTCTGAAGAACAAGGACACAGAAGTAGAGTGGGACATGGAGAATACAACCCCAGAGTCAACGAGTCAGGGAAGAAGACAGGGACTCATCTCAAGGCCGGGACATGAAGACAGAAGCTCAACAGCGGGGCCAGGGCTGCTCACCTGACCATGCTGAACAATGCATACACCTCCGGTTTCATCCCTGTCTTGGGCCACAGCAGGAACACGTCCTCTGGGAGACACAAGAGCACGGGCTTCATGGTCACTGACATTGCCCGCCTCGGCCCTGAGCCTCTAGCACCCAGCCCTGCCCCAGCCATGCCCTTACCCAGCTGGTGGAAGTGGGTCTCAGCACCCCCGGGGCCGGGCACAGAGCAGACCAGCCTGGCCTTGAGGAAAGTGCTCCACTTGTTCACCAGCACCCGCTGCCCGCCGGCATCGTTCTAGTTGGGAGGGGGCAGAGTCAGCTGTGGGTGCCACAGGGAGTGGGGGCTTCCCACTCCTCCACCGTCCCCCATGCGGGGAGAGGCATGGACATGGCTTCACACCCCAGCCTCAGTTTCTCTACTGCTATGCATGTGGACAGGCCCAGGATGGAGGGTGCAGTGAGCAATTTAACCTCACAGACACTTCAAAGCTCTTACCACGCAGACTCGGCCCACACGGCTGACGGTGACTCTGCTTGGGCTACCGTCAGGCGAGGGGACAGTCTCTGAGAAGAAGAAGTACACCTTGTCATTGTCCTGGTCGGAGTTGTCAGGGATCCGTGCAGCTGCCACAAACCTGGGGTCTGGGAGGGTGACAAGGTGAAGCTGGGAGGAAGGACCTCATAGGGGATGGCTGGGGGCTAAACCCAATGGGGGAAGGAAGAAGATGGGGACTCCCACAGGGGGTTGGAATCTCAGGGCACGGGTAGGTATAGACCTCCTGGGCTCACCATGCAGGAGGCTCTGGTCAAAGTCAGAACGAAGGGCAGGCCTGGAACCCCCACTTCGGAAAATCATGGCTTCACGCCCCAGGAAGTCAGCTATGAGGCCTGTATATAGCTCCCCACCTGTGGTAGGAATGGGAGGAGGAGTCAGGGGAGGACATAGGCCAGTTCCCATCCGCCCACCCAACCTGGGCATCACCCACCTACAAAGGTGCTGGCGAAGGGACGGCTGGGCTCGTGGGGGCACCGGCCCCGCCCACCTTGCACAGTGCCAGGCTCCAGGTGGAGAACGTGCTGGGGGAGGAGGAAGGGAGGGAGGCAGGGGGTGTCACCTGGAAAGAAATACTACCATCCCCACATACACATCCAAGCCTCAGTCATCGCGTGCAGCTGGAAAGTGGGGGGGCAGATGGCGTCTTCATTCCAGGCCCATGGATGGGTCAGCCCGCCCAGCACAAAGGCGCCTTTCAGGCCTCTGTCCCCTCTGGCCCTATCCGAGGCCTTTGACCCCACAGCTCAATGGGAATCGTTCAGGCATCAGGAGGAAGTGCTTCCCAGTGCCTGCCAGGACCCCAGGCTCACCTCCCCACGGTGCCCAACTGTGATGAGGGCACAGATAGGCTGGAAGGCCCCTGTGCCACATGCCAGCAGGTGGGTCCGGTTGTGGGGCTTCAGCACCCGTACAAAGTTGGCACACTCCGTCTAGCAGGGAGAGGGGGATGAGGTTAAGGAGGTGGGGGTGCCACCATCTCCTCAGCACCTAGGTTGATGGTCTTAGGGAAGGGTGGGACATGTCATTCATCACAGACCTTCTGAAGCCCTCTGGATCTGTCCCAAATGCCCCCAGCAGAGACACCTGGGGGAGCGGCCATGGGGCCTCTGGGGAATTAGGGCTTGGGTGTTGGTCAGGGTAGGGGTGTGGCAATCACTCCATCAGCACTCACCAAGGGATCCCTTCCCTTGCGGACACACTCTTCCCTCTGTCCTGGCTGTGGCGGCCACAGAACCTGAAACACAGCCTGGTTGACCCCAGGGAACTCCCCTGACCTTGCAGCCTCATTTTCCCCATCTGGCCTCTCAGAGCCAATCATTTGGAGGCTCTCAGACAGACCCTCTCTCTTCCTCCAGTACCCTCCTGGTCAGTCCAGCTCACCTCCCGGGGGTCTGGCCATGCCTGATCCAACCGCAGAGAGTAGAAGGCATCGCGGCCCCCCAGAAAGAGGCGGTCCCGGTATTCATCCAGGTACATGGCCCGAAGGTCCAGGGAGCCCCAGGGGCCCAGAAAGACAGTAGAGCGGTTGACAGACAGGAGGTCTGAGAAGGAGTAGAGGGAGGCGTCAGGACAACTTCCCCTGCCAAGGGGTGGAGGTGGAGGTAAGGGATACAGCTGTGCATTCACACATATACACATCTGGAAAATGTTTCCACTCACAGGACAGCTGGAGGGCTTTGAGATAGTTCCTGGGGGTGGTGGAACAGAAGGCTCTGAGCCCCCCACTCTAGGCCTGCCCCTACCACTCCATTGCTCAGTCAACACTTCCTTACCACCATTCCACCTGTGCCCTCCTCAATCCTGAGGGAGATGGCCCCACTGGCAGAAATTACAACAGCGAAATGGGCAAAGTGCAGGAGAGCTGGGGGGAAGGGGTGTTAAGGCTCAGCAATGTACAAGGCTGACTCATTTGGAGAGGGTGACAGGCTGGGGAGAGTGTTTCCAGCAAAGGGAACCCCTGACAGAGGTCTGGTGTGGGAGAGACCAAGTATGACCTGGCAGAGCTCCAGCCTGGGGTCCAGGGTTGTAGAAAAAAGGGATTTCTTCCCCTGTAGACCCTGCTTTCTCAGGCCCCAGGGATGGAGGCTGGGGTGTCTGGGGATGCTGGTGCCAGGAGTCCAGGATCCTGATATGGGTCATTGGAGTTTAGCCAGGGAGATGGAGGTGATGGGGAGATAAGGGGGCAGGAGTGGGCCTGGAGGGAAAGGGGTGCTGGCCATGCTTGGGAAGGCCCCAGTTTATCCTGTGCCTGTTGCATGGGAGCATCCTCAGCCCAGCACCCACTCTATCCCCAAAATTCATCAACAGCCTCTTCCTCCAGGAAGTCTCCAGTGGTTGATAGCACTTTGCAGGCAACTTTCCCTAATTAGACTTTATCTACTTGTAGCCTGACTGCCTCCCCCACTGCCAAAAAAAAAAAAAAATTCCAGCTCCCAGGGAAGGACCATGTCCTTCCCAGACACCACCTCAGATTCTTTAGGGTGGAGCCATGTCTCCCCCCCTTTGACTCCCTAGGGCAAGTCTGTGTCCCTTCCCCTGTCTGGGGCCCCCAGGGGAAGACAATCACCCCCTCTGGTTTCCCCAAGTAGAAGAATTTTCCTGTAGCCTAAATCTTGAGGACCTTTTCCCATGTACCACCTCTATAGATTCAGAAGAGGTCTGTGCAGGTTGCAGCACAACATGTCAAGGTTAGATCTGCAGAGGGACCTCCCAGACCAAGATGGGCAAAAAAGGAAACTAGAATCCTCCCTGGGCTGTGAAGAGTCTCCAGGATGGATAGGGGGATGAAAAAGCCAACAATTGGAGGTGTGTGGTATAATGTGGACAGGAGGAGTACTGTGACAATGATATCTCCCAGCAGGGCTGTGGGGACAGGGCTAGTGACCCCATACAAGGCAGCTTCTGGAGCTGGAGTCTCCTCCCCAACCCTGTGGCTTGGGGACTTGAGGGACAGGATGCTGCCATGGCTCCCGTTTGCCCTGGCAAAGAGCCCCAGCTCAGCCCAGAGACCCGCACACTCACCCTCTCCATCTCCCTCCCAGTCCCTCTCTGCTCCCCACCTCTACTAGGGTCTCTCAGGGTCTCCATCTGTCTCCTTCCCTTTCTTAGCAGCCCCCCTCAGGTTTTCCCCTCTTCCTGTCTCTGTCCCCCACCCTGTGACCCCCGCCCCATCCTGGTCTTATCATCCAGGATCTGTCCCAGCCCCTATCCCTCCTCCCAGGGCTCCTGCTTCTAGCTGCAGGAACACCCTCAGCTCTGACCATAAACTCCTTCCTGAGGGTCATCCAGGGGTGACTCCAGACCCTCTGAGGGCAGAACAGATGGCCTAGGGACTGACTGAGGCCCCCAGCTGGGGATGTCCCGGTCACCCGTAGACAAGCATGCACACGACCGACCGGAGCGCACTGGCTGGTACCTCGGTAGGAGAGCCGCAGGCGGGGCACGCTGGGGCCAGGGCTGCCACTGCTGAGCAGGGAACAGCCCAAGAGGCAGCAGACGGCCCAGGCCCAGGGGGCCATGCTGGGGGACCAAGGGCACTGCCACCTGCCTAGCTGCAGAGAAGTCCTCTGGTCCTGCCACTGGTTGCAGTGTGCTCGGTCGCCACCAGGCCTGCCATTTATAAGGCTGTGGCTCCACCCCGTCCTGGGCCCGGAAGGCGAGAGGAGGCGGGAAGGCAGCTAGAGGCTGCCGTCCACCTGCAGCTGCTCCCTCCACTTCTTTGGCCTTTGTGCTGGATTGGCTGGTTCTCCATTGGAGGAGACTTTCCCAGAAGAGGTGGGGGTGGGATTTGCACAGAGGGATGTCCCAGCTCCAGCAGAGTGACTAGGGGGGAGATAGTCTGGGAGGGCCATCAGGAGTCAGAGGTTGGAGGTTGGTAGGCTGGGTGGGGGTCTCACTGGGTTCTGCCTTGCTGCCTGTGTGGCCCCACTCTGCCAGTGACTGTGCCAGACACCGTCATAAACTGGTGTCCGGCCTACGTCCCCATACTAAGATGGTCCAGCCCCCTGAAGTCTTGGCCAAGTCCCCCAACAATCCTGGCAGGGCCCAACTGCCTGGGGGAGGGCACTCCCAGCCCAAGGGGCCCTATGTTCTGGGTGGGGCCTTGAGGTCTGGAGACACTTCACAGATCTGGAATTGGCTAGAGATGAATTTCCCACCCAGGCCTGTCCCTGTCTGGCCTCCAGGCCCCATAGCTGTTCCCTAACATCTACTACTACTTCCGTAGTGATACTGCCTTGGAAACCCAAGGAGGGGTCGCTATGAGTCGGGTCTGACTCGATGGCACATAACAACAACAACAACAACATCTACTAGGCCCTGTCCCAGCTCCTTGGGCTGGCTTATGGACAGGGGACAGAATCCACCAATGTCAAGAGGGACTCCCCCCCACATTGCCCCCACCTCTCTCAACCCTCCAGTCCTCCTAGAAATTCAGGGCCCAGAGTGTCACCATGTGAGTGGGGGGTTCTCCTTAGAGCTCCCCCAACCCCACACACATCTTCCTCACCTCTAGAAGGGAAACCTGCTGATCTTGCCAGTGTGTGTGTTTGGGGGGGGGTGGTGAGCAGCTTCCCCACATACTCCTTACACCCTGAGCTCTGATTGGGGGCCAGTAAAGCTACAGAAGTAGGTGAAGGGGGAATCAAGGCTGAACAGCTGATACCAGGGCAAGTCAGCTCCTAACAGCAGCTCCTGGAGCCCCCCTTCCCACCCTCCTGCAACTACCACTCCCTATTCTAGACCCCCACACTCAGAATCTGAGGCCCTGTGTGCTGAGAAAATTTCAACTGGAGCTGGAGTTAGAGCTCCCAGGGTTCTAGAAACTCCTGCAGGTTGGGCCTCTCCCAAATGGACTAGCCTGATCTCTCAGATAACCCAGTGCCATCTAGTCAATTCTACCTCAGAGAATTGCCCCATAGGTTTTCCAAGGCTAGTCCATTTGGCCATGCCTGATGGCCAAGGCTAGGTTTTCCAAGGCTAGTCCATAGGTTTTCCAAGGCTAGTCCATAAATCTTTATGGAAGCAGACCACCTCATCTTTCTCCCTTGAAGCAGTTGGTAGCTTCAAACTGCTGGCCTTTTGATTAGCAGCCGAATGCCTTAACCACTACACCACCAGAGCTCTTTAATAACCCTCAGACAGTGGTCAGGACATCAGCGGACGGGGGG